AGGGTCCAGGGGACCGACAGCTGGTCATGCCAGGCTCCTGGGGACGGACAGCTGGTCACTGCCAGGTTCCTGGGGACGGACAGCTGGTCACTGCCAGGCTCTGGGGACGGACAGCTGGTCACTGCCAGGCTCCGTGGCCCCCAAGCACAAGCAGACACCAGGTGACGCCCCCATGGCCACCAAGGGGCAGAGAGACGGCCCTGAGGCCTTCCCGGGAGCACAGCGGGGACCTGGTGAGGTCCGTGCCCGGCCCAGGAGTCCGGCCAGGGTCCCCGCCTCGGCTCCTTCTTGGGGCGGGCAGCGTTCCTGCCTGCACCCACCCATGGGCACAGGGCCCACGCGCTCAGGGCGTCCTCGCGGCTCCCAGGCGGCAGCAGGGAGCAGCCGGGACCCGGCCCAGAAGCGGCCCTTCCTAACAGAGCAACCCCCCCCAAGCTGCTGCGTGCCCAGCTGACCCGCCCTCAGCAAGTGTCCAGCGGCCACTGTGCAGACGGGCACTAGGGCCGAGACTGGCACCCAGGCTGCGGGGGCCACAGCTCGCTGCCTTGTCCCCCGGCCGGGTCTCAGCCGGAGCCCCAGCATGCTGGTCCCAGTGTCCGTGTTGGGGGGCGAGCTACATGCAGGAGGGCCCGCAGGGCTATCGCCCGGGCTCTGGCCACATCTCCTTGGGGGTGACTTGAGGATCCCCGATGGACAGCGGCACTGGCTCCTGCCAGAGTGACCCCACAAGCTGGGGCAGGCGCTGGCCTCTGGTCTCACGGGGTGGCCAAGCCAGCGGGGACGCGTTGCCAGCCCCTGTCCCCGAGAGGAGGAGGGGTTTGCAGCCAGATGGGCCATCATGGAGGCCGGGCTGGGAGCCTGCCCCACGCCCGCGGTGCCGGTGGCAGGGAGGGCCAGCCCGGCATGGGGTGGGCACCTCCACAGGCCAGCAACAGAAGCAACCACAGGGCCAGGCGCATGGCCCCGAGGAGTGGCTGTCCCTGCTCCCGGAGCTGATCTCCCCACAGCTCCAACACCCACCCGGTCACTCCTCGGCAGGGTTGTCCGCGGGGCGGTGAGCCCGGCCTCTGCTTCCCCGGGGCAGTGGAAGCGGCAGGGGGAGTGGAAGCGGCATCAGCTACTGAGCAGCCGGGAGGGGCCGGGCCTGGACGTGGTCGCCCCACGCGGGGGCTCATCCCAGCGTTCCAGACACAGCGCTGCGGGGCCGCAGCTCCGGCCCTCCACGGGGCACTCTGCACGCGAGGCTCACCCCCCGTGCACGGATGGGAGGGACCCCAGCCCTTGGGGGAGGGTCTGCGGGCTGGTGAGGAGCAGGCGCCCCATAGACACCTGCTGTGCGCAGTGACTTGGCACCAGCTGTATGCGTCTGGCTGGGAGGAGGCGCTGCAGGGACGCGGCTAAGGGAAGGGCCTCGGGTACCACCGGCCGAGTGCGGGGCGCGCGCGCGTGGGTGGGTGGGGGCGTGCGGCGTCCCCGCCTCCCGTCAGCGCCGTCTGCCCGCAGGACCGCCTTCAACAACAACGTGAGCGTGGCCTACGACTGCCTGAGCGCCAGCGGGCGCAGGAAGCGGCCGGGGCTGGACGGGCGCACCTACAGCGAGCTGCTGCGGCGCCTCTGCCGGGACAGCGCGGCGCCCGAGGAGGCGCTGGCGCCGCTGCTGCGCAAGATCGAGTGCCGCGAGCACGAGGCCGTGCCGCTGGGCGTGTTCCGCGCCGGCATGCTCGCCTGCTTCGTGCTGCTCGAGTTCGTGGCGCAGGCGGGCGCCCTGTTCCGCCTGCTGGAGGACCCGGCGCTGGCCGTGGCGGACCGCCGCGTGGGCCAGGCCGTGCTGGACACCCTGGAGGGGGCGCTGAGCGCCGGCGATGGCAGCCCCGCGCCCGCGCACTACCTGGAGGCCGGTTCGCGCCTGGGGCCCGACAGCCTGGCCCTGGCCATGGACCGGGCCGCCGCGGGCAGGCGGCCCAGCTCCCCCATGACCCGGGACGAGTTCCTGGAGAAGGCGGCCGCGCTCTTCATCGCCAAGGTGAAGCCGGTGAGCTGAGGCCCCAGCTCAGCCCAGCTTCCTGCCCCTGCCGGGCCGGCCCCGCTGCTCCCCAGGGGGAACCAGGGCTGAGGACCGGCAGCGCCCCAGGAAGTGGACGCTGGCTCCCCACAGACCTTGGCTGTTCCCTGCTGGTCCCGCCCCACCGGCCCAGGACCCTGCTAGCTCTAATAAAACCCCCTGGAGGCTGCCCTGTGTGCGTGCTGCCCACTGCCCTGGCTGACCCTGCGTCTCCCTGTAACCCCTGGGGCGCCCTGGACTCCTGGAACCCTGCCAGCTGTCAGGAAGGGGGCAGCCAGGTGGTGGTGGTGCTGACGGGGACGGGCAGCGTCGTGTCCAGCCCAGTGCCCCACGAGGAAGGATGGGATCTGGGCCCAGGCCGCACCCCACGCTGCCGGCCGGGAGTCAGCCTGCCCCACCCCACCTGGGGAGCTGCAGCCCCTCCCTCTGGCCCTCAGGGGCCAGCCCCCCTTGCAGGCTCAGACCTCAAAAGATGGCTGCTGTTTTGTTTTTCCTTAACATTGATTTATTTGAGACAGAGGAACAGAGAGGGGGAGAGGGAGCTCTTCCGCCCGCTTGTTCCCTCCCCAAATGCCCACAGCAGCCCGGCCGGGTTCCTGGGACGTGGGTGGGGCCATCTTGGGCAGCGTGGTCACCAGGAGAGCGGCGGGGACTGGAAGTGGGCAGTCCCCGGTGGGGTGGGGCGTGGCCAGCGCCTGGGCACTCGCCGGCCTGGCTGCCCTGTCTGGAGCTGCAGAGCGCTCACACCGTGCCGCGAGATGAACCCGGGACCTCGCTCCGTGTGCCCCAAGCGTGAGGACTCCGTGAAGACGGCCAGGGGAGGCGGCGTCCTCCACACGTGGGGTCTGGGGGTTTCTAAACGCGTCCGTGTGTCTTCATCACACGCTCAGGGCCTGGACGCCTGGCCGTCTGCGTGGACGTGCCGCCAGGGCTCTGCTCCCTCGGCCAGCGCGTGACACCACATGCATCCCTTCCTCACCGGGCTGCGTGCCCCCGTCCACCTCTCCCCGCTGGCCGCCTCCTCCCAGGCTGAGCCAGAGAACAGAGCCCCCCGTCCACCTCTCCCCGCTGGCCGGCTCCTCCCAGGCTGAGCCGGAGAACAGAGCCCCCTGCCCTCTCAGTGTCCACAGCCGGGCAAGTGAGGTAGACAAACTACCCCTGTCCTGGAGGCCAGAACAGGAGGCTGGGCCAGCTGGCAGCCGGAGTGACGGACCAGGGCACCCCAGAGCTGACCCCTCTGCTCAGGGCCACTCACACCCCACCCGGCCAGGCCAGCTCTGCCCACGCCACCACCGCCACCCCGGCACCGAGCCTCTCCCTACTGCCTGCCCAGGAGCGGCCAGGCTGGGCCCAGAGGTCTGCATGTATCAGGGTCTTGGAGCAGCCCTTCCCGGCCGGGCCCCACGCCCTCTGCTTCCCTGCCTCCCTCTCACTGGGACCCATGGCTGGGGCCCTCACTCAGCTCCTCCCAGCCACACAGCCCCCCCCAGGAGCTCCCTCCCACCCTCTGGGAGGTGTAGCCCCCCCACAGAAGGCTGTCTCCCACTCTGGTAGGGGCGACACAGCCCCCCCATTAGTAGTCTCCCACCCTGAGGGAAAGTGTAGCCCCCCCATGGAAGGCTGTCTCCCACCCTCTGGTAGGTGTGCCCCCCCCCATGGAAGGCTCCCTCCCACCCTCTGGGAGGCGTGGCCCCCCCATGGAAGGCTCCCTCCCTCCCTCTGGGAGGTGTAGCCCCCCACAGAAGGCTGTCTCCCACTCTGGTAGGGGCCACACAGCCCCCCCACAGTAGTCTCCCTCCCTCTGGTAGGTGTAACTCCCCCCCATGGAAGGCTCCCTCCCACCCTCTGGGAGGTGTGGCCCCCCCATGGAAGGCTCCCTCCTTGGCTCTTCCCGAGAATCCAGCTAGGTGCTGAGCCGGCTTGACCCACACCTCAGCGCCCCCAGCCTCCCAGGAACCCGCTGGGGAAGACCCCCAAGAACGTCCACCCCAGGCCCCCCTGGAGGCCTCGGACCCGGGAAGCCCCTCCTCTTCCTATGAGAACCCAGGACCTGGCTGTCCCCTGCCCCCTCCCACGACGGCTTCACCCGGCCTCGGCGACTGGCTCGGGGCCACCACGCGACTCCGGCGGGCCGGTGCCGTCCCGGTCCTCTCCTCAACCTGCTCACCTGGGAGCCCAGCCGCCCAGCCGCCCAGGCTGCGGCTCGTACCCCTGCCGCGCCCCTTGTAGTGTCCGCCTGGGATGGCGCTGGGCCCCGGGCAACCCCAAGTCGTCCCCGCCCCGGTCCGCATCTGCGTCCCCTCTGCAGAGTCCCTCGGACCGCGGGAGTCAGCGCGGACCTCCTGCCCGGCCGGCCTCTCGCCCGCCGCGGGCCACGGCCCGGCACCTTCCGTCCGAGAGCTTCCGCGCCCGCGAGTCGGTGCGGCGCTCGTGGCCCGGGCTTGCGCTGGAGCGCGGTCCTCCCGCGAGCCCGCGAAGTGCCGCCGGCGGGCGCCGCGTGCGGGGCGCTTGCGGGGGGCCGCGGGCCCAGGACCCCACACCACCGGCCACTCCCGGGATCCCGGCCCCAGGGGTGCGGGGGTCCAACAGCGGGAACCCGTCCGCACGGGGCGGGGGGACGCGGAGCGCGGCCCTGACCCGGTGCTCCCGGGGCGCCCAAGGCGGTGTGCGGCGTGGCTCCCGCGGCGCGCCCCGCCTAGCGGGACGTCACAAAAACGGCCCGAGCAGCGGCGCGCGCCGCAGCCCTGCCCTGCCCGCCCTCCCCGCGCACAGCGACCCGAGCCCCCGAGAGCGCGGTGGCCGAGCCGGCGGCGGCGGCGGCGGCGGGCACGGCCTCAGGTCGGAAGCGCCCAGGCGCCTGCGCGCCGCTCCCTCCCGGCGGTCGCCAGCGGGGCGGCGGGGACTCCGCTTCCCGGCGTGCCCCGCGGGCGGGCGCGCAGGCGCAGTGAGGGCCCGGCCGCGGCGCGCAGGCGCAGTGAGGGCCCGGCCGCGGCGCGCAGGCGCAGTGCGGGCGGGGCGCGCGGGCCTGGCCGAGGCGAAGGCCGGCCGGGCGGGCGGCGGCGGCGGCGCCTGGGCGAGTGGAGCGCTCGGGGGCCCCGGGCGGCGGCGGCGGCGGCGGCGGTGTAGAGGAGGAAGGCGGCGGCGGCCCCGGCCCCGGCGGCTCCCCCGCGGCTGGCGCGCGGCCCGGCCCGTCCCGCGAGCTCGCGGCGGCCCCGGCCCCGGGCCCCTCCGCCGCCGCCGCCGCCGCCGCCATGGCCCGGCCATTGGTGCCCAGTTCGCAGAAGGCGCTGCTGCTGGAGCTCAAGGGGCTGCAGGAGGAGCCGGTCGAGGGCTTCCGCGTGACGTTGGTGGACGAGGGCGACCTGTACAACTGGGAGGTGGCCATCTTCGGGCCGCCCAACACCTACTACGAAGGCGGCTACTTCAAGGTGGGCCCCGCGCCCGCCTCGGCCCGGGGCCCCCGCAGCTCCCGCGCCCACCATGTGTCGTTGGGGCTGGGGTCGTCCTCCCTCCCCGGGGCCCCCGCAGCTCCCGGCCCCGCCGGGTGTCGCTGGCCTGGGGTCCTCCTCCCTCCCCGGGGCCCCCGCAGCTCCCGCGTCCACCATGTGTCGCTGGCCTGGGGTCCTCCTCCTTCCCCGGGGCCCCCGCAGCTCCCGCGTCCACCATGTGTCGCTGGGCCTGGGGTCCTGCCTCCCCTGCTGTGCGCGCCGCCGCGCCTCCTGCTGGTCCGGTTCCAGCCACCCCGCCCCCTCCCCGTGTCTGTGCTTGGCGCTACGGGGTTGGGGGGGGGGGGTTGCGACCAAGCCAGGGCAGGCCTGTGCTCCCCCAGACTCACAAGGCCGACCGGGGTGACGTGGAAGTATCACCCTCCCCACACACACACACACCGCCGTCAAGGCTGCCCCTGGCCGCTGCCCAAGGCCTGGACACTAGGCCAGAGGTCCCTCCCCCTCCGGTGGCCCTGGGGGCGAGGCCTGCGCTAGGTTCTGGGTGCAGCAGGGGGCGGGCGGGTCCCCGGGGATCCTCCATCCCCTGGGCGGGGTGACTGCGTGCTCACCGCAGGGGGAGGGTGCCTGTCTGCAAGGGATTGTGGGATTGTGGGCCCACCTCCACCTCCAGGAGGCTGGGTGGGGAGACCCCTGGTGTGGGAGGCCACCTGCTGTGTGCTGGGGGGGGGCTCACTGTCTCCAGGGCAGGGAGGCCCCACGTGGGCGTCGCAGGCTCGCTCTGTGCCCACCTCGGACAGGGTCTGTCCAGCGCCCCTGAGGCGGGGGCCTGGCCCCCAAGGCCTGGTGCCTGGTGCCGGCTTCCTGTACCTGCTGAGCCCAGGGGGACACGGCTGCCCCAGGCATGTGGCCAGTCCGCGCCTGGCGGAGGACCGGTCCTGCTGTGCTTCGGGCGACTGCCTCAGCCCCTTGGCCAGACCCCGGGGCAGGGCCAGCGCTGACTCCTCTCAGGGCTGGGCCCGCCAGGACGGCCTGGAGCCCCTGCGTGCCCCGAGCCTGCTGGAGGTGCCCCGTTCCCCAGCAGCCCCGGGGACTGAGGTGACTCGGGAGGGCTCCGGGCGGCCTGCGAGGGGCAAGCAGTAGGCCGAGCCCCTGCCCGGCCACTGTGCGCGGCCCGGCTGAGCCCCGCTGCCCGCCCGCACCGCCTGCAGGCTCGGCTCAAGTTCCCCCTGGATTACCCGTACTCCCCGCCGGCCTTCCGCTTTCCTGACCAAGATGTGGCACCCGAACATCTATGAGGTGAGCGCCCGCGCCCCGCGCCCCGAGGGCAGGGCCTGGGTAGAGCTGAGCCCCTCTCGTCACAGACAGGGGACGTGTGCATCTCCATCCTGCACCCCCCGGTCGACGACCCCCAGAGTGGGGAGCTGCCTCCGAGCGCTGGAACCCCACACAGAACGTGAGGTGAGGCCAGCTCCCGACCTCTGACCCGGGTCTGGGGCACCTGGCTCCCAGGGCCCTGGTCCGCAGGTGGGCGTGTCGGGGGGAGGGGGAGGCCCTGCCCGCTCCCCCGCGGTCCTGGGTCCACACAGCCCGCGTGCATGGCCCCCGTGCCCGGTGTCCTGGTCCCGCCAGGTGGGCGTGTCGGGGGGGGGAGCCCGCCGCGGCCCGCACCCTGCTGACCCGCGCCTCCCCCAGGACCATCCTGCTGAGCGTGATCTCTCTG